TTCTGAAAAACCTTGCCAAGAAAACTGTAGGGACTTGTCCAGGCAGTCTCCATGAATTGGATATGATTGAATGGATTAAAAAAAAAATCCTTTCTTATAGCAAGCATATAGCTGTCAGCCCCATGATGTAGACCAAACCAAGAAACAGACTCCAGAGAAGTCTAAAATTACTTTTATTAAGATGGACTATTGTAACAGAATCTTGCAAGTCTGATTGTGCTCCTTCCCGCCCACCTTACATTCTGTGAAATTACAGAGCTGTCTGCCTGAGTTGTTTCCTCCTCCCCTCAGATTGTTTTGGGCTTGAGTTGTGTTTTTCGCCTTATCACTCTGGGAACGGATCTGGCTTATCTCCATCAAGGGCATCTTTACTCTCTACAATAACAAACGTGGGTGTGATGCCTATCAGTTTGGAAGTGAAACAGGACCATTAAGGTCACACTACATACTTGGGACCATCCTAGGTAGATAGAAATATAGTTTTTTTTTTTGTTTTGTTTTGTTTTTTTACAGTTAAAACATGAGGATTGACAAAAAGAATTACAAGCTTCAAGAATGTTGTGCAGGCAACATTTTCAGTTCTAAGGATGGTCCGCAGTGCTGGAGAGCAAGTCTCTCCACCACTCCCAAAGTGGCCCTGCCTCAATGCAGCTGAGATGACCATATAAGGATAAATTACCCACCCCCTTGCCTCATAAGGCCATATAAGGATAAATTACCTCCCCAAATGTTTCCCCTCTCCCCAGTTTAGCAGTTGCAGCAGCTTCCTCTTTTCCTTCTCTTCTTGTTTTGCCAATGCCCAGGGACCCTGAATCCACAGAAGCCAGAGTATCAGATTTTCTGGCCCCTGACCTGAATAAGGCCCTTGTGGTGACTCAGTCTTGTAGAAGTCAGCAAATGTATTAACTTAATCTATGTCTAAGAGACACAGAATGTGACAAAGTCAAGCAATATTTTTCCAGAAGAAATATGCAGGTCAAGAGGAGATGGGGAATTTAGGCCATTCAGTTTAAACTAACTTTCTCCCATCTGGATTAGAAGTCTCATAATTCAAATAACAGATAGTTCATCGATGTGTGGAAACTAGGAACTCTGGTATATTTTAACTGTGTCATATCTAGCCAGAAACCACTGTTTGAAGATGGCTTATTCAGAGAAACAATACTGTAGTTAAAATGAAGCACAGTTTGACTTGTTTCAGACAAAGTAAAATGCTGCATTTAAGTCCCCTTTTCTTGGCTGTATTGGAGGAGAAAATAAAAGTGAATGCCTGCTTCTGTGTCACCTTCTCTTAGCACTAAATTACCAGAATGCATCTCTTGTCACTTCAGAAAACAAGCTACAACGTGTTCCTATATCCAAATGAGAATCATTTGTGAAGATAAAAGCAAGAAAAAATGGTTGCATTCCTGCATTGCCCTCTCTCACATTTTTAAATCAACATATTCCCTGTAGTAGGTGACTCATCATGGGCTATTATGGATAACTAATGAGTCATTTTATCTGGTCCATCTGAACAACAAGCTGACCTCAAAATCAGTTTTTTCTTCTCTACCTTCTCCATTTTTTGTGATTGTTGAGACCTGTCTTTAACATATCCCAGAAGCTTCTCTTACCTTCATGAAGGATTTAACAATTTACAAGGGCTGATTAAAATTTTGTCAGATACCCAGTCCCAGGCAACAATGAACTGTGTACTGTGGCTTAATTATTTCCACCATTAGTTTTAAAACTGGCTTTCTCCAGCTTCTTATTTCTGAAAAGATGAAAGGTGCCTGGAAATCTTCCATTGCACTTAATAAGGTATTGATTATGAAACCTCCTCATTTATGCAAGCCAGTAATCCGTTCTTTTAGCATATGTCTCCAAAACAAATAGATCGGTCTCATTTTCACATTTTATTAAGGGATTTTTTTTAAAAAAAGTGATCTCTTTCATTTAGATTTTTTTTTTTTTTTTAGAAGAAGAAAAACTCACACATGGACCGAAACAAAACAAACAAAGCCAGGGCCCAAGTCAGTATCTCCTGCATCATTGTAGCAACATTCATTACCCAAAACGCAGGTCACCACAAAAGATAGTGGATGAAAAGAAGCGAGAATCATTATACAATTAGACTATTTTTCATAGGCTGCAAAAGCAGTAATTGAAATGCCCATCCTGCATTTGGTTTATGAGACATTCATCTTCTCTGTTTTGCTGGTTGATTGGAATGTATTCAGGTTTGCATCTATATATGAATATGCTTGTTGCTGCTCTTTATCTTCTGTACCTTGTCTTCTCAGAAAATCACATATACGAGAAAAACTCTCTGCTTATATACAAGTATTGACTTTAGGATAAATCAGCATAATTTTCCTTTCCAGCTATTGCTCAGAAGTTCAGGTCATTGCAAAAGGGAGCTTAAGGGATCTTTTCAAGGTAGCTCAAAAGAAGACCCAGTGGGGAACCATTTCTCTGGAGTAGAGCTCTCAGATCTAGTCAGAAAAACTCATTTCTGCATCTCTTTGCTGCCATTGAGGCCTTGTCTGAATTTTTTGGTAGCCCAGATCTGGTCGCTCAAGAACAGGAAGACCCATATTCAAACTCTGTTCAAATGACACTAAACTCCACTGGTGAGCTTGGATAATTTGGTATCTCAAAACTACTTCATGGGGTGGTGGAGGATTTGAGGATAAAATGGCAGAAACCATGAAGGAGAACCATAAATGTTGCCTTGAGTCCTGGAGGAAAGATGAGAGAGATGCAGTATTTAATAAATAAAGGAATAAAATATCTCTAACAAATCAGACTGCATGGTATTCTAAGGAAATAGCTTAGCAACTACTTTATCCTTTCCCCCCTTCACCCTCTTAAAATAAATATTGGATATTCAATTCAGTTGTGGACCTTAGCTGAAGAAGGTGTGTGTGCGTGTGTGTGTGTGCAATGTTTTTTTTCTTTGCAGTAACTCTAATTTATATTGGCTTTCCCCATTACTTCTTTCTTTGATAGGGTTACATGTTACAGTGTTATATTCTGGTATTTTGAATTTTGGATATGTTGCCCTGAACCAGAACAGAGGCAAATGGCTAAGCCCTTCCTTGGGTCCCAAGCTAGCTTTATCCTGTCATTTTTTTTTTTTTTTTAAATTGAAGGGGGCCAAAGAAGAAGTAGATGCTTTGCAGCCTTTTGGTATGACTTTATAATTACAGACAGTGCTCTAAAGAAATATTTTCTTCATATAGTTATATGGGTATGATTTAAAAAAAAAATGAGAGAGGGACAACTTTTCAGGGGAAAAATGGAGCTTGCCCTAAAACATGATAATTTAAGGTTCTTCTTCTTGTTGTTCTGCAATTGTTCCTCTTTAAAATTGCCAGTTGATTTGTTTTACATGAACCAAAACTTGATAAATTCTTCCTTCACCTTCCAGTTGGGTAGCAGAATTTTGCCTTTTAAACTGTTTTACTCATTAATCATACCTGAATATCTAATTAGCTTATGAAAAATGATGACCTGCAGGAGACGTTTTCATTGTGTCAGCTCTTCAGAGCGGCTAGAAAAAATCAGGGATATTAAGATGAAGAAAAAGAGAGGGAGGAAGAAGAGGAAAAATGGGCTGAATTCTTGGAATTCAGCATGTGTTACAATATAATGTATTAATAGATTTTCTCCCCTGCCTGCCCCCCACTCCTGAAAAGGAGAACCATAGTAATGTTATACTTTTCTAATGGATAAAAAAAAAATTAACACATTTCAGAAAAATAGATAAAAGTTAAGGTATAGGAACATATACTGTTTATGTTTAGGGGACCCTTTTGTTTGGATAGGAGACCCTAATGGGTCCTGAAATGCATCCTTACAGATCATTCTTGCCTATTCTTAATATTAATTGTATAGATCTTGATGCTTGCACTAGGGATTGTTATGTTTCTATGTATTTTGGAGAGGAAGGAAACTTCCTTATTACAGTGCCCTCCCATCACCCAAATCACTGTAACTATTGAAATACTTTAGTGTGGAAAAGGCTATACTACAGCTTTAATTTCGAATTATTCCTGGGTAATACAAACCTATAAAAGCCAAGGTGATGCTGCCCCTGAAGAACTGTCCTAAGATAGAGACAGCTGTCTGCATGTTGTCAACAATCTGGAAAGAGGGAACAATTTCTGAATTAAGCTGGGGTTTTGTATGGATAACAATAGTATCTACAGATTTTTGCACTAGGTCTGCCCATGACCTTGATAGCAATTATAGGCCAAGCAAACCGCATTGATTGGTTTTGCTTCCATCAAAATATAGCAAAACTGAACAGGGAGAATGAAACCCTAAACGTATTTACAAGGAAGTAGGTGGCATCTTGTTCTCCACTAGGGCTAAAGAAATGCCTTCAGGAAGCTGACAAACTAGCTGCTGGCTGGTTTCTACTCAGTTTTAATTTACTGTTCCAAACCAGGAAGTCCTATTTAGGTCCCATCATGGCAAACAACAATTGATCAACAATTTCTCTTCTACAAATTTGTCAGCTGTATTTCTAAAGCTATTTAAAACTAGTGAGCAGCGGGTGAATTCCAAAAATCAGTTCTGGATTGTGTAAAGAAACATTTTGTCCTCAGCTACTGCATACTGTGTCATTTTATAAGCTTCCATCTCTATCATGTCCTTCCAAATTTTTAAAAAATGTACTAAAAAGCCTCTATCTTTTGCTCATAATAGGTGTTCCAACTTTCTGATAATTTTATTGCATTTTTCTGCACCCTGTTCTACCTCTAGGTAGACATTGCAATGTTGGAAATTTTATTTATTGTTTTAATTTTGGTTCTTGATGATTTTTATCATCAATGGGCCTTGTTCCAGAGCACTTGCATGTTGTTTGACATATCCATATCTTATGTTTTCTAGATCTCTTATCTGTCTAGACTCTTAACATTATGGATTAAGTCAGAGTTTTGTCTGGTGTAGATCATTTTACACATGCTTATGTTGAATATCATCTGCCTTGTTGTTACTCTGCTACCTAATTTGGAAACATTATTTTAAAACTCAGCCTTTCACCTTTGTGAATAATTTGTCCTCAGCCACGTACTTGGATTTACCTTCTTGTACCACTTAAGTGAGATAGAATTTACTAAACTGAGGCAATATCTCTTAGTAATTTAGTTGCTGGAGTAAATAATACTTCTTTCATGACCTATTGATAGGGCATCTGGTTGACTACTGTACAGGTAGTTCTTGACTTATGACCATTCATTTAATGAGTGTTTGAAGTTACAACAGTGCTGAAAAAAGCACTGGTTCTTACACTTACAACCATCACAGCATCCCCGCAGTCACGTGATCAAAATTCGGGCACTTGACAAGTGTATGTATTTATGACTGCTGCAGTGTCCTGGGGTCACATGATCACCATTCGTGACCTTCCCAGGGGGCTTCTGACAAGCAAAGTCAGTGAGGGAACCTGGATTCAATTAATGATGCCATTCCCTTAACAACTGCAAGGATTTGCTTAACAACCGTGGCAAAAAAGGTTGTAAAATCGGGCATGATTCTCTTAATGATCAAGGGTAGCAACCTGGATTTTGTAATTTTCTGTACATTCTGGGAAGAAAGGTGACATGGAAAGTTACATAAGGTTTGTCTAGCCACTTCTAAAATGGTTTAAATGGATTGTTTGCCGCTACATCTGATGCAGTGAATTGCACAGTTTAACTGTGTTGCTCTGTGATGAAGTAGTATCATTCCAGTTAGGACTTAGGAACATTTTTAGGCTGCTGATGGCAAAACTTTTGTAATTGTTAAAAAAACAGAAATTTCTGTCATCTCATTTCATAATCATAATGGTATCCCTTGATTCCTGAAACATAGTCGATTTCACTCTAAAAATAATGCATTACTCTGTCCTCCCCCCCACATCAAAATATAGTCCCTTCAGCCCACCAAAAGTCAGGAAAGAGGAAATATTTGCCACCGTTCCTTGACAAGAGGATGGTGCATAAACTCTCTGCCTGTTTCTTTTGAGTCTGTTCTACATAAATGGCATATTTCCCCATAGTAGCTTAGGGTTTCCCCCCCTCCCCTTCTCCACTGTTTCATTTTCAGTCTTAGTAGGAAAAAAATGTAATCAACACGACAAGACCACATAAAAAACACATCCAAGTTGATAAATCTTCATTAATTTAGATCTAATCCAAAGATACAGCAATTGCTTTGTGAGAAATTAATTTTGTTCCTAATACTTCCAAACGTAAGGGATATCAGCCTTTCCACTGTTACTATAGTAATCATATTTCTCCCCCCCCCCATCCTTCTAATAAATATTCTATCTTATAAGTTTGGCATTAATGTAAGTTGCTGAAATTCTGTAGGGAAAAGGAGCTTGTTTTTCATTCTGTGTTCTGCTGCAAAGGAAGGTGTATGAAGCTGAATGGCATCAATTATCAGATACTGGGATACACAGTATTCTCATCCTGATGCAATGGGGACTTACATGCACAACACTGTCATGTTAATGGGAACTATATGTGTAAATCTGCTATGGAGAACAGAGAGGGTCATAATGTAACACTAGCTTGATATGTCAATCTAAGCCACTTGTGGAATGCCACTGTAACCTGTTCTTTTCATGGTAGCTGCACTTTGACTTTTTTTTTTTTTGACAAATTCTTTTGAACAATTCATTTTATAAAACAGCTAATAAATAATACAGTAAGAACCACCATCCAAATCTTATCAAACCATCAGAACACTGGTTTGGGCTACTGCAATACATCATTATATAATTCCAATAGATCAGATCAGAGCTAGGATTTGTATCCTAACATTTTATTTTATTATTACATTTTTATGCTGCCCATCTCCCCCAGAGAAAATCAAGAAGCCACGTGTGTATAGGTCTACACATTTTACATTTGGCAGTTATCTTCCTGGGATTAATATTCAGTACACTTGAAATGAAAGATGGTGCCTAATGTTGCAAAGTAACTCCAATGAGCAGGTGCTTGTATCTTCCAGGCAACAAACGAATTCTGAAACCTTATTTCTGAAGTGAATTGTGTGGACAAGTCCTTTCTGCTCTGGAAAGCTTTTGAGCATTCTATGTTGTAGAAGTTGATGTGGTATTTTAGACTTATTAAGAAGATGCAATGTAAGCACTGTATTAATTTGGAATCTAATCTTTGGTGCTTTTTTATGTGAAATAACTCTATGTTTGTCTGTTGTCGGGAACACTGCCGTTAACAATAAAACAAACAAAAAACCCTATCTCATAAACATTGAGCTTTAGCAAGAAGCCAAATCAACAAAATTATTTTTTTTATCATTACTTTTTTCTTTTACCTGCCAGTAAATCACACAAGGAATGGGAGCCCTCTCTCTCCCTCCAAGGTAGTCCATACAAGAAGCACAACTATGAGTACTAACTCTACCTTTATTGTAAGGTTGCATTAACAGAATCTTGCAAGACTGAAATATTTCTCTCCTTCTTTCCTTTTACTCTCCAGAAAATGCAAGTTGTTGCCTGCTCACATTACTTACTTGTCTCCAATGGATCTTTAAACCAGAATATACGTTCTACTATTCTAACATTATCCACAAGTAAACAGGGTCACTGGGTGAGAATCCATATGGAGAATCCATATGGAGAAACATGGAAAAGAACTATTGTTTTGCTGCTCTGATCACCACTGAGTAGGCTCAAAGGTGAACATATACCAGTGCTTGAACATGTCTACTTTTGGTCATACCTGGAACTTCTCCTTAAACCAAGGATGAGAAAAATATATATTTCTATTTGAAAAAGTGAACACACATGTACACACAACGTTCTCTTTGTACTCTGTCTATCTCCATGTGACTCATTTGTGATAATAATCATTGCCCTTTCCTTTCCCCTGTCTAATTAACAATGTTCCCTTTGAGGTTGGTTCATGGTTATTGCACATTGTATTTTGAGAGAGAACAAACTCTCAGTTCATAAAACGAGATGTTTTCTTCTTCCACATTTATTTTTCACATTTTTCTTTAACTATTTCCTTGGATAACCTAATATTTGATTACTTTTGGCTTCCTATTATTATTAAGCAAGGACCTTCCTTAACCATTCACAGCGCTAAAGTCTCCTTAATAGAATTACATGTATCAATTTCAGCCCATAAAGATGGGTGCATTTCTTCATTTTACTACTCAAAACATGATTAATTAATTAATTTTATATACTCAGACTATTTTTTACCTATTATCCTGCTACTCATTGAGCTACTCTAATTATATCAAGGTGGAATTTATCCCAATCTTCTTTAAAAAATTGCTTAATTTAAATGCCACAGGGACATAAGCAAATGTTACAAATTTCTAGGTTACTCATTATGGTGTGTGCACATAGGAAAATTTAGCATTTATGCTGCATAGAATACAGGTTAATATAATAATCCACCTCAGCATGAAGAAAGTAGCCTAGGAAATCATAACTTAGTACTTTCATAAAGAAACATGGCTGTTTATTATTAACAGATAAGAGACAGAGAGAGAATGAATGAATGAACATTTAAATAAAATACAGCAAAATGTCAACTAGTCTGGGATTAGCAAACACATGTGAATGACATAAAACTGAATATTGTTTTCAAATAATCACCTGTAGACTTTTAAATCAAGGTAACTGGGGATTGAGAAGCAGTTTTGTATAATGGTTAAATGCACCAGACTATAATCCAGGAGGCTGTTCTAGTCCTGCCTTGGGCACAAAGCCAGTCCCTCTCTCTCAGCTCTAGGAGGAGGCAAGAGCAAACCCACTTCTGAAAATCTGCTGGGGCTTGTCCATGTAGTTGCCAGGAGTGAAGAATAAAGTCACTTGGACTGAGATGGGCAGCTATAGAAACTGCATAAATAGATAAATAAATAAATGACTCTAAAAAAGCCTCATTAAAAAAAGGGACGGGGGATGGGTTAAAACAAATATCAAGTCCTGTAAATGAGTTCAAGGGAACCATATTTAATATTTTCCTCTGGAAGCTACTATGTGGTACAGTGAAAACATACATAGGGAGGGAAATAAAAAGGCATACACACCAAATTGCTCAAAACAAAAGCAAGAAGACAATATGATATGCAAAATGTTTTAATATTTCATAAGCAGGTAGCAATTAGGAAGA